ATGGTCCTGAGGTTTTTTCCACTCTGTTGTTCTATGACTTTGACTTAGGTTGGGAGACACCCCAGATGTGTGGAGATCAGAGGCCAGAAGGAGGAGTGAGGGTATGGTCTTGGGTTTCTGCTGGGAAATGGCCCCTAGGTGGGTGTTACAGTTCCTCACACACCTCCCCTGAATGGGAGGAAGCTGTTGCCAGATTTCATTAGTCTCCCAGTGCCTGTTACAGGGAGGTGGGAAATATATGTGCACTGGGTAAAATACATGTTGTTCCCCACTAGACTCTGGATTCCTTTTGCAGTTCACCTCCATCCCCAGTGTCTGTGCCAGGCTCTGCTACAGATGCCACTGATTACTGAATGACTGAGCAAGCTTGTTCCTGGTTGGCAGGTTCTTTACTTCATGGCCACCAAGATCTCTAGACCTTTCACCGAAGGCCCCCATTGCTACCACCCCATTGTTTCCTCAGCTTACATAGAGTTTTGCCTCTTAATCCCCCTCCCCAAGAAAAATTTTAAATGGGCTTAATAAAAGTAGAAAGCTTTGTTAGCAGTTCCTTGTAAACATCTCCACTTTACTCATGGGAAGGCCTCTGCAACCCCCACTTAAGGCACCCCATCCTGGCTGGGCCCTCTGTGCTTTGCCAAGATGAGCTGACCACCAGCATTAGGCCCTGTCACTAGAAATACCTGGTGGTGGGAGGTGAATTTATCCTATATATTTGTCCACCCTCCCTTCCCCGCAAGTCTCAAGTTCAGCATTTGTCATATCCTGTCTAGAATTTCGACATGTACATTTTGAACTATTTCTTGCAAAATGAACAAGGGTAGTCTTTAAACAGCAACCAACTTTAGGTCAGACCCTGTGCTGCAGATTACTTTACATATAATATCAGACTTGATTCTTCAAACTGTCCTTTATGACGGGTTTGCTATGCCCACTTAATGGATGGGAAAAGAGGCTCCCAGTAAGGTTAAGTGATACAGCCTTGAAGGAGCAGTTCTGGGACAGGAACCCAGATGTCCTCACTGCTCCACTCCATGATACCACCCTTGGGGTGATGGGGTCTGAGCCAGGCATGTGCATAAGCCATTAGAGGTTGTTCCACACAGGGGAGCGTCTCTACCCTCTTATCCACGATGTCCACACCCAGCTGGCAGGCAAGATCACCGGCATGCTGCTGGAGATTGACAACTCAGAGCTGTTGCTCATGCTGGAGTCTCCAGAGTCCCTTCATGCCAAGGTAGGCTGGAGCCTTGGTGGCAGGGAGGACAGAGAGGAAAGGAAAAGAGCTAAGAACAAGGGCTCTCCTAGATGAGCTAGGAGGCAGCTGCTTGGACAGATGAAGCTTATCTTCTTGCTAAAACCTGAAGGTCTGCTGAATCTAGGAGTGGGAGAGGGCCTTAACAAAGTGTTTGCTATTTCAGTCCCTCTACAGACTAATTCTTTGTAGCTCCATAGGCAAGCTTTTGGTATAAGCTTTTGTGTTCTGAGTCAATATAAGGGTTAAGGTTTTTCCAGCTGTCCAGCGATGTACCTCTGTCTCAAAACAGTGACAGTGGGGCATGGGATCTTGCAGCAGTGGATATGGGTTCCGCAGAAATGATGCGGAGGGAGGAGAGTCCCTGCATCTAGCATGCTGAGGCAGGTGGAGGTCAAGGCTCTCTGGGACCTGGCAGGGACAGCTATACCAAGCCCTTTCCATTTGTGTCCCCACAGATAGAAGAGGCGGTGGCAGTGTTGCAGGCACACTAGGCCATGGAGCCAAAGGCATACATGCACTGAAACCAGGTGGGTGCGTGGGAGTGGGAGGAATGTTGACAGAAGCAGCTGAGCCTAGAAACTGGGAAGAACTGGGCAGAGACTGACTTTTACAAACTCACTGAAAACTGCTCTGTGATGCTGGCTTTCTCTGAAGCACCAAGAAGGAGTTTGGGGGAAGCTATGAGAGTCAGAGGAGATGGTGAACAGTGTGACTACAGTGGATGGGAGTGATTACAGGGCAGAGTGAAGGAGGTATTGTCTTGCCAGCTGCCCTCCCTGGGCAGTAGCCTGGGCTACTCCATCTTCTTAGTTGAAGACCAGGTGTCTGCCATACTTTGGAAACACTTATTTTTACCCTTTCACCTGCAGAAAATGGAATCCTCACTCCCATGGCTGCCAAGAGAACAGCATTTCCTGCTCCTCAGCTCTAAGGCCCTGTGAATTGTAACTTATTTCCTGATTGGTCTATATCTGTACTTGAGCTCTGTATGTACAATGAAGACTGGTCATCCAGCCAGCCTAGTACCCTTTGCTTTGTGTATTAAAAGTGCTGCAAAATCTGTCTTGCCTCCCAGAAGGCCACCTTATGTCTGGGGGAGGCGGGGCAGAGCAAAGGGTAGACTTGACCAGATTGGAGCTTTGGCTGTAAGGAAACCCAAATGAGCCCTGAAGTACAGAAAGGGTGTGTACACTAGAACAGGACAAGCGGCAGGAACTGAGCAGGACTAACTATAATAGCCCCAAACAAGAAATGACTGGCCCATCAGTGGTGCTATGGAAGATTAAATGGATATCATCATGTAATGGACTGAGAAAATGGACTAAAGCTACAGATGCCCACATGTATGCACGGTGTTTCTGGACCCCTGGCTTGAGCACCCTGCAGGACAGGCAAACACCCCAGAAGCAAGCAATTGCTTATAGGCTCTGGGCTGACTGACTGAGGGGTTTTGTAATAATTAAAGAATCCTTGTAGAAATACTTTAGGGTACCTTCCCAGGTCACGATTTCCCCTGTGTAGGGAATGGGGGAATCTCTTAAAATGGTTCTTTGGGACAGTTAGTACTTGACTCCCATTAGGGGTGTATACTCCAACTCTGTATCCGAGCAGCTAAACAACAGTGAAGTCACGACCCAGCAGGTGGGTTCTGCTACAAGTTTACCAGCAGCAAATTCGACTGAGCCCTCAAGGTTGCCCTGCCATTCTCTCGGCTCCTCACTCTTCCTATTCTCCAAAAATGCTATTTCAAACTTGTTCCACTCCTCAAACCTCCATCCCATCATCACCTAGCCCTACCCACTTCCCTGGTTGCTTTCAGTCTGTTCCCTGTGCAAATTCATCTCTTCTCCCCAAATGCTGACTGCTGGTATTTCTTCAGACTCAATCCCAGGGCCCCTCTCCTTTTCTCACCCCACTTTTTCCTCTTCTGCTGTCTAACTTACAACCATGTCTTCAATTTGCACCTAGTCTAGAGTCACTCCCAGTTTTTTCTTCAGTCCAGTCCCTTCTTAGGAGCTCCTGGGTCACATCTCACATTCAACTGCCCCCTTGCCATCAACTGTGAGTTAATAACACTCCAAATTCATGTCTAAAATGGAGCTTATGTTAGGATTCCTCCTACCCCTTATTCTCTGGTTCTCTCTTCCAGTATCCTGAGTACATGGCCCCACCCTGATTGTTGTAAAAGCCAAAATCTGAGGGTTTCCCCTCCCCTACTGGCACTTCACTTCCCCCTTATCTTCCATATGAAATCCATCAATTTTACATCCTGTTCTCAAATCTTTCTACTTCTCTAAAACCACTACCATCATCCTCGTCTGAGCTCAGCTTGACTCCTGCAACAGCCTCTCACTGATTTAACTGCATCAACTCTGGCCCTCCTCCAATCTGTCCTCCACCATGCAGTGAGAGGCGTTTTTCAAAATGCAAACCTGATGTTTCATCCTTGCCTAAATCTTTCAGTAGCTTCCCATTATCATTGGAACAAGGATAAAACTTAACATGGCCTAAGAGACACTGCGTGATCTGGCCCCGACACAGGAATCTGCAGAAACCCTGTCATTCCCATGGAATGAACTTACTTTCTTTTGGAGTGGGAGATGGAATTCAGTCATGACCAATAAGACAATTGCACTGATAGCTGCATGTCCCTTTCCTAGAAATGTTAAGTTATGAGAAGCAGAAATCTTAATCCTCAAAGCCTCTGGAAATGACAGAAGGGTGATACATTTCAAAGATGGGTAATATAGAAGAGTAAGCTTTTCACTATTCTCTGTGTTTATCAGCAACTTTTAGAGCCCAAAAAAAGCCTCTTCAAGTTGTGCTGGCCTTGCCTTCTATGTTTTCATTAGCAAATCAAGACACTTGCCTTCTAGAGCTTGAGAAGACTATGTAAGTCAGTTGTGATTCATGTCACCACTGAGCCTGCCTCACATCAGAGTCCTGCCTGCTTAAGAAAGTAGTAAAAGGGGTGCAGCTCTTCACTTTGAAACGGTCCTATGGCCATGCTCATGGCCCTTGTCTGACTCAAATCTGCTTCAGCCTGGAGGTCTGTCATTACACAGACAGCAAAAAGACTCATCCTTGAGAGGTCAGAAGCAGCGAGCTTAACAGCTGAATGTTGCTTAGGACTGTATGTGATGGGGAGCAAAGGGATGATGACACCCTTTGCCTGCTTTGCTCTGTGGAATCATAACTTCTACTTCAATAGTTGAAAATAATTTAACTAGGACACAGGCCAGGAAGGAAAGGCAGCTCTTCATTCTGGTCAGATCCTAAAGCACCCTCCCAGTCTCACCACATAGCATGTTTTGTGAACTTGAATGGCACTCTTTGGTCCCTGTATTGTTCACATTGTCCCCCATCCACAGCCTTTACACATGCTGTTCTGTGTGTCCTTTCACACTGCTTTCCCCTCCCCTCTTCACTAGTTAACCTCCCACTTTACAACTCAATTCAAGCTTTACTTCTGCAGGGACCTTCACAATGCTTAAGCCATCTACAGTTTACTCTTGTGTGATTACCCAATTAACTTGTTGCCTTCCCACTGGACTGTCAGCCCTCAGAGCAGGGACCATGTCTATTCACTGTTGTCTCCCTGGCCCTATACTCGGTGACTGACCCATGCAGACATTTCAGCAAATTTGTTCAACGGATGGATGAATGCTCAATAAGCAGTAGCTTTTACTACTACAAAGTTCCAGGTGCAAAGCTGAAAAAGCATGAATGAAAGTACAACATATTTATGTAGAAGAAAGCCTTTTTTAATGCCATAGCTTAAATACACAGTTCAACAAAATCAGTTTAAATTAACTTCAACATATTACAAAGAACTATGAAGCCTGGAGGAGGCCACTATTGGAGCAAAAAAGCAAGTCCCTCCCCAGAAAGAGAGGACACTGACCTCAAGGAGGCCTCTTTTCTTTTTTTTTTTTTTTTTTTTTTAAAAG